ACCTCCCAGTGGAGGCAGCTTCTCGCTCCCCGCTCCCCCGGCGTCCCCTGGCACTTCCGGGAAAAGTAGTACAGGGGTTCAAGTGCACCCCACGTAGTATCCCTGGGATCTGGCTCAGTTTCGCAGCTTGGCCTCTCTTCTGCCCTCTCCCCAACTGTTTGCAGGTCAAAAGGTCAACACCTTCAGTTGGTCCTGCACACCCAGATGCACTGATGGTTGTCAGAGCCCTGCATCGTCTTAAATCAGGCGGGCGGGGCAGGGTCCTGAGCAGCTAGTGGGCTGAAAGCCAGGAGAAGGAGCAGTGGGCAGAGCGGGCCTGAGGCCACGTGGGTGTGCGGGCACCGGCCACATTCCGTGGGGGCGGCAAGGCTGAATGGTGGGCACCAAACGGATTTCCGTGCCTGGGCTCGCAAACCTCAACCAAGCTCCCTCAGCTAAGGCCCAGAGCTCCCTCTCAGGGCCACTAGGGCCCTGGGCCTGGACTGCCCGGGCAGGTGAGGTCAAGAAAAGTCTCCGAAGCGGGTTGGTGTACCCAGGATGGCTGCCTTCCAACACTCAGCAAGTCTAGTGGGGAGCTCAGGTGCCTGCTTGGAGAAGTGGCAACTTGAGAGTTAGATGGGCACTGAAAAGGCCCAGCAGGCCAAGCCTAGCAGAGGCCCCTCCAGCCCTCCCGCCCGCTGAAGACACTTCACCCCACCCCACCCCCCAAGACTCAGGCCCCTGCAGGTCAATCCAGCAAGCGCTGGCAAGAAGAGCAAGTGAGTCCCACCAACCTTTTGGCCTTCTTCTCCCAGAGAAACAGGCCTTCTCCGAAGTCGCCTATGGTGCCCAGTGGCCGTGGAAGTTTATATCTGTCTTGCTGTTTGCTATACACATACTCCCTCTATTTACTACCAAATAAAAGAAATACATCTGTGTTGCCAACAGAAACAACTCTCGAGCTGGTTCCACTGTCTCCTAGAGGTGCTCAGAGCTGCAGCATGAGCATACCATGGGAACCCTGGCTCTGAGTCGGTCGGTCGGGGTCTGGACTGCACTGTGGTAGTCCAAGGTGGTTTATGATGGGCTCCGTTTATGTGTCCTGGGTTGCTGGAAGGTTAGAAGGGAGGCATCCCTGTGGAGGAACACGGAGGGGCTCTTCCCCCAGCTCCCTGCCCAATCCTTTCCCAAGGATGCCTCCCACAGCTGCCCAGAGAGCCACCTCCAACACCATGCAAGTGACTGGGCCTTGGCCATGCTGTGACCTCAACACTCCTATGGGTGCTTCAGCTAGCTGCTGGGGCCTGTGAACGAAGGTGTCTGCTTGCTGTGTACCTGCAATTGCACATATAAGCATATAAGCATGCTACTGAGGGGATCCTCATGTTTGCTTGGGGGTCAGGGTAATATAGAAAAGGTCTCAAGGGAAGACAATGAATGCTGTTTGCAGTGACTTAAGGCTTCATTAGGATGTAGGTGGGAAGGATGAGAAGTTGGAATGAGCCAAGAGAATGTTGGGTCCCACCACCTTTAGGGGATGGGAGGGTAACTCAGGAGTGCCAATGCAGTGGTTCAGAAGAGGGGAGGTGGGGTGGCTGATGGAGAGGGTTGGGGTTTGGGGAAGAAGTTGGAGAAAGCACCCCTGCTTCAAATTGTCTCCCTTCAGCTGAGTGATTCTGGAAACTGCAGGCAAGCATCCTGGGTGGGCAAAGATGGCCCATGCCAGCTCTCTGAGATGTGACAGCCCCTAAGCACTCCCTCACTCCCTTGACCTCTCCTGCTACTAAGGCCTCTAAAATCACTCAATGCCATCAAGTCAATACTGACTTGAACCTATAGGACTGGATTGACCTGCCCCTGTGAGTTTCTGAGACTGTTTATGCAAATAGAAAGGCCTGTCCTTTCCCTCCCCCCAGCCCCCTCCAGAAGAGGCTGGTGGTTTTGAACAGCCTACCTGGTGACTCAGTACAACTCATAAGCACTATGCCACCCAAAGACCACTCTTATACTGGATGCTGTGTGCAGAGTGGCTTGGGGCCTGGATTACCTCCGCCACTAGGAGAGGAGAAGTTTTCAGACCCCCACTAGCATGGAGTGTAGTTCAGGCTGCCAGCCTTGATGAGCTTCCTGATTCACAAGCAGCCAGGCACCCATCCTGGGTCTCCAAAGGGCCACTGCCCACCTCCCTTGGTAAAGGGCCATTAAGCCCCAGGTAGAGGGGTTCACCAAGAGAGGGAAAGGGAGGCCGGGGCGCTGGACAAAGGATAAGGCTACTTGTAGAGAACCAGTTATTTCTCGACTTTGTAAAGACAGGGTCAGTCAAGAACCGTTTTCCAGAATCCAAACACAAATAAAGAAGTCTTTTCTTGGCGCTTGATAGCATCAAGTTCTGGCTGTAACAAACGAAGAATGTGTTTGGTATTGCAACATTGTTTTTAATGAGCTGTTATTGGCCTGTCCCCCAGTTAGTATTACCAACAGTAAAAGGCATCACTCTGTTTGCAGGTAACACAAGCACAACATATTTTGACCCCGAATTTCTGTTTATTTTTCATTTACGACACATGCCCGCGTTTTTATTCCAAACCAGAGGGAAATAAAGGACGATCTATCTTCACTGGAGGCCAGGCAAAAATTTTGCCATAAATACGCGTGCTGGTTTATTCGAGGGCGGTTTTCCATCAACAGAAAACGATACTCGACGCTTCAGCCAGAGTAGAATCAATTGTGTCGATTGAGTTCGAGGAACCGGCTACGCGCTGGGCCAGGGCCAGGCGCGCGGGCGGGCAGGCACTCCCAGGTGGTGGAAGCGCCCTGCGCTGTGCGCTCCCGGCTCCTCCCCGCTGCGCGCCGAGCTCTCTAGCTCCTTCTGGGTCCCAGTTTCCAGGGTGTCCTGCCTGAACCCCCAGCTTCAAAACGGGCGGCTTCGCTGGTTGGCCAGGGCCGCTCAGGCACCAGCTTCCGCTAGGAGCGCGCTGCGGGACTGGGACGGGGGTGGGGGTGGGTGGGGGCGAGGAAGGGCGCCCTTACAGCTTAGGGTGCTGCAGGGGAGAGAAGGGCTTGGCCAGGCGGGGACAACGTGCTCTGTTCCCTGACACTTGTCACTCCAGGACCTCTCTCCTCTTCCAGCCGAACCCAGAGCTACCTTTGCTCAAGGCCTGGGAAGCTCCCGGTTTCCAGCGCCTGCGTCGCCAGGGCTGGTTGGTCTCGTGGGAGCCACGCTTTCATAGTCCGACTACACTCTTCCGTGCCCACTCCAGAGGCCATTGCAGGCCCTCAAGTGTTCAGCCCCCTGGCCAGTGCCTACGGATGACCCTGGCAGGAGCGCTGGGCTCTGAAAGGCCCAGCGACCTGGGGGCGAAGACCAGGAAGGTTGCAAGCCTGTGCTCAGAATCACCAACCCGTGGCATCGCTGCCCTAGCGGCTGTAGCTTCACTCCGTTTGAAATCTAGATGACCTTTGGTCTCCACCCAGTCCGCCCCCAGGGCTCCCTGTTGGCAGAGCATTTCAAGCTGGGGGGATACGATAGAGCCCCTGATCTGGAACAAAGCCACCTCTGTCCCCTCCGCCTCCTAGATTACAGGAGCGGACTGAGATGAGTTCTCAGGACTCTGCGCTGCGGGGGGAAAAAAGGGGTCCTATGTGAGACACTGGAACACAGGAAGCCTCGCATTTCATTTCGTTTCTTTTTAATGAATTCATTTCCACGACAACATTCAGTGTAACAACATTTTGTGGTGGTTTTTTTTCCTTTTTTTTTTTTTTTTCATAAAAAGGGACTGACCCTGGGCAGAAGTCGGGTGGGTGGGGGCTGGGGTGGGGAATGAAGGGAAAGCAAAGCGGAAAAACAGGTGTGGCCGACAGAAAGCAACCAGACTGGGACCCAGGCAGGTCGAGCTGCCCGTAGGAAGGGAGGGTGAACTTTACAAGAAAGCTGTACATTATCAAATAAGTTAAAATTTTCCTAAGTTGATTGTCCTTCACTTAAAGCGCTCCACTATGCTAACTTCCTCCTCTGAGCATCAATACCTATCCTTGGTTCCTCCCTTCACCTCCTTCGTTTTCTCTCCTTACCCCAACGACCAGGATTATACAGTGAAAACATCTGCCCTCCTTAGTGAAGGAAGAAGCAGGGCTCACAGGAAAATTTGTACAATATTGCACAGGTCCAAAGTACAACAGTTACCGCGAGGGGAGGAGGAGGAGGTAGGGGGAGAAGTTAAAAGATAAGTGGGTTTGGGTCTCCCCCCTCTTTCCTTTTAAATATCAAATTTTCTCTCTCAAAACAGGGCACAAAATAACAACAGTAACATGAATGATAATTGACCGAGAAGTGAAAGTCCCCAAATAAAATACCGTTGATAAATAGGACCACTCAAAGCCAGGCAGGATGCGGAGTTGTTTTAACACAGAATTCTCTGATTTTTGGAACAGGCCGAGGGGTGACTGCCCTCTCCCAGTGAGCAAAGCAGCTGGAAAAGGGTTCTCATGAGAAGCCTATTCAGATTCTAATAATTGGGGAGAGGATTCTTGATTGCGGGTGGCCCACCCCCGAAATCCAAGTACTACGATATGAACTCTCTGACTCTCAGTACTTCTGGAAATACTTCTATAGAAATACAGGAACAAGAGGGAATTCGTCTGTGCGTGTCTTCTTCTATAAAAATAAAACCCAAAAGCCACAGCGCAGTGCAATTAGGGTGGGGGGTGAGGAAGGAATTGGAGGAAGGACTAGCGATGTTATAAAAGCTTTCAGCCGAAATATTTGCCCCTGAAATTTCGTTTTCTTCCTCCTTTCTCTTAATATAAACCAAAACCAAAAATAAGAGGGGAAGCGCCTCAAATCCAGGAAGGGTGAATTGCACGAAAATGCGTTGCAAATACTTACAAAACGCTACCGATTGGGGGAAGAGGGCCGGGCCCGTGCGCCCGAAGCCCGGGGTTCCGAAAGGCCGCTGGAGGGACTCGGTGCCCTCGACCCCGCCGGCCACCCGGCCCAGTCTCTTCTGGCCCCTGGGAGCTCAGACGGGCCGCAGGAGCGGCACAGACGAGACCACCGGGTGCGAGTAGTAGACCGGGTGCGGGAAGGTGAGCAGCGGCTGGCTGACCGGCACTGGGGCGCCCGCGGCCGCCGCGGCCGCCGCGCCCTCAGCCGCAGAGTTCTCGTGGTAGAGGATGGGCACCCGCACGATGCGCTGTGCCGCGGCGTGGCTCAGGTTGGCCGCCTCCAGCTCGGCAGCCAGCTGCCGCTTCCACTTGTTGCGGCGGTTCTGGAACCAGATCTTGACCTGCGTCTCGGTGAGATGCAGCGACGCGGCCAGGCCGGCGCGCTCCGAGCTGCTCAGGTAGCGCTTCATGTCGAAGGTGGACTCCAGCTGGAACACCTGGCTGCGCGAGAAAACCGTGCGCGTCTTCTTCTTGCGGCACGCCGGCTTCTTCTCCGGGCTCTCGCCGCCCTTCTTCCAGTCCTCCGTGCCCGGCGCCGCCGCCGCGCCCAGGGCCGCCCCGGCTGCGCCCGGCGCCGCCTCGCCCTCCTTCTTGCCTTCCTCCAAGTCGCTCTCCTCCAGAATGATCTCGTCCGGGCTCTTGGAATCCAGCTCCTTGTGGTCCGGGTCGGCCTTGAGCAGCGGCTCCGGAGAGTCGCGGTCAGTGCCCGAGGCAGGGGAGGAGTCTCGCAGGAGGATTTTCTCTGAAGCTGTGGAGAGAGACAGACAGATGCACACACACGCACACGGACGTGAACTTCAGAGAAGCCCTGCACCCGGGGCCGCAGCCCACACCCTCATGCCGGCCTCCAGCCCCAAGCCCCGAGGCCTCCTCGGCTCCCGCCGGCCTCCTTCGGTCGCGGCGAGGCTGGGGCCCCCGGGTCTTGGGACCTGGACCTGGGACCCTCCTGCTCCCGAGAAGCGCGAGAGAGGCCCGGCTGAGGACGGCGTCGCCACCCCCTTGCGTGCCCTCAGCTCCTCCGCCAGGGATCCAAGCAAAGATTCGCCCCCAGGCTGGGGCGGCCCCCGGTGTCCCCGGCTTCCAAGGCCGCATCCTCGGCTCGGCAACCGGTCAGTCGTCTCCCCACTCATGCCCGAAGCGACTTGTCCCGGGTAGGGCGCCGCGCCCGGGACTCCCAACTTCGCCTCTTTTCTCCCCAAGTGGGATTGGGTGCCGGGGCGGCGCGCCGGGGCGCGCGGACTGGAGGCTCAGGCAGGGGCCAACAGCGGATGTTAGGGTGCAGGGACCCCGGGGCTGCGGGGGGCGGCAACGCGGGACCAGGGAAGGGGGGCGGGAGGGAAGCGAAGAGACAATGAAAGTTCAAAGAGCGGTTGATACCTTCGGGTCGCGGGAGGAGGCCGCCGGCGGGGGTCAGGGTGTAGGGGTACCACCAGGCCGGGGAGCGCTCCAGGTAGTGCGCGGGCAAGGCAAACCTCTGCGCCGGGATCTCAAAGCGAGGGAAAGCCAGGTCGCCCACCTGCGAGAGCGCGAAGCCCGCGGCGCCCTCCAGGGCCCCCTTGGCCGCGGCGGCGGCGGCGGCCGAGGCCGGCGCGAACAGCGTCCGTGGGGGCGGCTGTGGCTTGGGGGGCGGCCGGTGATGGTCTCCGTTGAGCAAGTTCTTGATGGAAAACGGGGACTCCTTGGGCGCGGGCGGCTGGGGAGGCGGCGGCGGGGGTTGCGCGCTGGCGGCGCTTGGGGCGTCCGGCCCGGGCTCCGGCATGGTCCCCTCTCCTCCGGGTCCCCGGCAGGGAGGGAGCGGGACAGACGGGCGGCCGGGCTAGCAGGCGGGAGGCCGGAAATCAGACCATCCACGGAACTCAGCTACCGGGCGCAAAGTCGGGGGCCGCCCCGGGCGGGAAGCGAGCGGAGGGAGGGCGGGGTGAGGTCCCGGCCGGGGCGGGAGAGCATGGGGGAGGGGCCGCGGGTGGGGAGAGGCCCGACCGCGGCTCCGAGGGAGCTGGGCGGCGAGGCGGCTGCGGCTCCGGGGGAGGAGGCGGCAGGAGCAGTACCCGGCTCGGGGCTGCGTCAATCCGGCGCCGGATGCTAATGATGAAATCAAAATGTCATCCAAGTTAAATGCGGGGAGTATACGGCGATTGGGCGCGTACAATGGCAAATGGGATTAGGCAGGCGAAGGCGCAGCCGAGCCGGGGCCCCGCAGCCGCCTCCGCCACCGCCCCCTCTTCGCCTTCCCTCGGATTTTGGCGCTTTGGCTTCGGGCTATAAGAGCCCGCCTGTTATTGGCTTTATATAGTCCAATTAGGCAGCAAATGAGGACAAGCCTATTAGCACAAAAGGATATTGGCTCCTACTAAAGAGGCACTCGGAGCGCTCCGGCGAGCGCAGGAGGCGAGCGGGGGACGCGGAGCCGGCGGCGCCCCCGGCCCGAGCGCACTGACAGCCGTAGCGCCCAGAGCCAGCGCAGCCCTCTCCCCCCTGCAGCTCCGGGACCGGCTTCTCGCCGCCAGGCCTGCGGGAGGGGGCGGGGCGGGCCGGGCCCGCCCGGGTCACCTCGGGGTTACCCGCGCCGGCAGCTGCCTCTCCCCCGCCCCCCGGGGCCTGGCCAGAGCCCGCCCCCCTCCGCCCCCCCGCCACCGCTGTTGGAGAGTCATACCGCGCGGGCCCAGGCTGCAGGGCGCGACTTGCGGTCGGCGGCAACCTCGGCCCTTCCCTAACCTTTGGGGTCCGGCGGCCCTAACACTTTCCCCATAGCCTGCTAAGAAGTGGGCACCACTAGCAAAGAGGTTTGGGTCCCTCCACTACCACCTAGCTGATGGGAAGGGAGTTGGATGGAAGTTCTTGCACTGCCTCTTTGGGCTCAGGATCCCGCAAAGCCTTGGCCTTGGTCCCTGGAAAACCGAAGAATGAGCCTGCGGGCAGGAGCACGAAAGAGTGTGCATCTTGGCGCACCCGCGTGTGCGCGCAGGGCCGGCCCCAGCCCGCGCGTCCCTCGGAGGAGCCGCGGCAGGAAGCTGCGTCCTGGCACCGACGACATAGGCGTTCGAGGGGCACTCCAGACCTCTGACGGCCAGTGCTGGAGGCGTGGGAACGGATTCCGAGCCCCGGGCCTCTAAAGCAGGACATTCGCTCCTGGAAGACCCCCTGGCCTGCGTTCGGAGCTGCCCAACACCAGAAATACGAGAAAGGCGAGCGGCCAGTCGCGGTGGAAAACTGTCATCCGCGGTGACGATGGCCCAGTCGCCCTCAGAGAGCCCAAGGGGGGTGACCCAGTCTTGAGTGAAGCCAGTGGGGCCTCTCGGGAGAGCCGAGCAGAAGGTCGCTCGAGTCCATAGGCTTAAAATCTGCTGCCGGATCCCTAGAGAAGTTTGTGGAGCAGGATATACAACAATCTAAATTTAAACATCAAAATTGGTTTGGGGGTCCCTTCCCAAGAGGCATATGGCAAAGTGGCTATCGCCCCAATTCCGCCCAGATGAAGACCTGCTGATGTGAGCTTTTTGTTGTTGTTGTTCCATGGAGATCTCGTTTAATGCAAGCATTGGCAGCTGAGATCGCTTTGATACCTCAGCTGAGAAGCTGGTACACACAGTTCCAAGTTCTGGTTGCGGGGGCTTGGACCCTCCACTACTAAGTCTTCACAGGGAGAGCGCAGTTTCTTTCAGCGAGCCTACAGTACTGACTCCCAGGCTTACGCTGGGCACCTGGGAGCATCGCCAAGGAAGCTTCCATAAATAGTGGTGGTCGTGATATTTCCTGGAGTTTGCGTAGGGTTTTGCTGTTGGCAAAACGCTAGCGCCGTCCAACGTCGGAACTAAGCGCAGCCTCGAGATGCAGTGGTCTCAAGGCCGAATTTCATAGATTTGGAATCGGGTAACCAAAGAGGAAGAAATAGGACTAGGGTCACCCAGCACGTGCCAGACACCCCCTCCCAGTCCCCAACCGCAGAACAGCGCGGGCTGGGGCTGGTTGTGATCTGAGCATTGTAGCTTGGCCTGCGCTCTCCCGCTACATGGCCCAGGACCCGCCTTGAGAGGCCCCTGCAGGTGTGTGTGGGGGCCGGGGGGGCTGGGGGACACAAGCGAGCGAGCCCATGCTGTGGGTGCTCTGCTATGCTGAGCGGGGCGCAGGCGAACTTGGCCAGTGTTCTGACGCCCCGAAGCCGCCTTGAAACTGAGACATGATGAAAAAGTTACTCTTTTCTTAGTGGAACAAGGAGGGTGCGTCAAAGAGGGTCTGGCTGAGAAGGTGGGCTTTGGCTTAAGGCAACTCTGGGGACTAGACTTTGGCTGGCAGGACAAGAGGCTGGGACCGCCACTCCCTGCATCCGATGCGCAGCAACTGGGTCCTTACTCCCCCTTGGTGCCCCAAGTTATCCTGCCCTTTACATCTCCCAGGGGGCGCGAGGGGGGCACTGGTACTTGCTCAAGTTTTGACAAGGCTTTCCCTTGTCAAAGGCCTTCTTGGTGCCAGTTCCATCATCTCATGCCCGAATTTCAGGGATGCTGCTTAGAACAGACACCCTTCCGATTAGTGCCAGCCCGTGGGAGCCAGCCCGGCGTGTGAGCCCAGCCTTCAGCTAGTCCTCTGGCCGTGGGTGTTGCAGGAACGCCCCGCGCTTTGGCTGCCTGCGCCTCGTTTTCCATCCAAAATCGGGCACACGGCGCCCTCTATGGGACATGCTCGGAACGAAACGCGCTCGCCGGACCTGGGAACCACCTACTCTTCCTCACCGCGAGTGGATCGGAAAAGCATTTTATCTCTTAGCTCAGGAGAAGCAGGGGATGAACTCCTCGCACATGTCCGCCGATCTTTAGCGTGCCTGACTCTCCCACCCCTGCTTCCCCTGGCCCCTTTTAGAGCTACATTCCCTGTGTAACTTGGCTCCTACATACAGTCAGGTGGCACAGATGTGAGCTCTGGGGATGCAAGCTGAGAGTGCTCTCTCCAGGAATCAGCAGGTCTATCAGTAGCTAGGGCTGCTGATGCAGGAGAGAGTGAGTGAGTGAGTGATTTCACAGTCCCCACTGCAGGGGACTGGCCCAATTGATTAGGGCCCTTCGGAAAAACCTTTTGTATTAAATCCAAATACAGTTTTCAGAAAGTGGAAGCCTGCCAATTCAGAGGGTCCATTTTACAAAACCTCAGAGTCCCAGGCACTGCCCAGGCAGAGCCAAGGCAGATGGTCCCAGTGGAACAGGGTGTCTGTTTCTCCCCCACTGGAGCACAGGCCAGGAGAGGAGAGGGGATCTGGCAGGTGCTACAGATGAGGTCTGGCAAAAAGACTGCTTAGACAAGACCCCCCAGCCCCTCCCCCACATATACAAATATACATTTTCACTGGGGCAGATCAATAGATCTTTCCTACCAGGAGTGATGGGTTTGATCCTACAACATCCTTTTGGTTATCAACCAAGTGCTTAGCGGGTTTGGTCCCAGGGCTCTTCGTGTGCACAACTTCAGGCCAGTCCTTAGGGCTTCTCACGGAGCTGGAGTAGAGTCCTCCTGTCCAGGACAGCTTCTCCCGACAGCCTGCCTGCTTCTCTGGAGGGAGGACATCCTGATCGCCTCACAATCAGCACATGGCCAGAGTGCAATGGTCCTGAGAGCCATATTAGGAGCACTGGTGACATTGTGGGGAACACGTTGGGCTGTGAACCACAAGGTCAGCAGTTCAAAACCAGCCACTCTTTGGGAGCAAGATGAAGGTTTCTGTTCAGTAAAGATTTACAGCCTCAGAAGCCCACCAGGGCAGGTCGAGCCAACCCTGCAGGGTTGATATGAGTCAGAATTGACAGTCTTCTTCACTTGTGTGCCCTCTTAACGGGCAGAGTGGACAGAAGCCTAGGATTGTGCTTCTGGAAAATGGTGCCCCAGGCTGCCTGTGCTCTGCCTGGTCCCTCCTTGAGCCTCTCGCCCATCTGCTAGCCCATGTCCAGGGTCAGAAATGCTTCAGAAGTTCCCCAACGAGCTCCTGGGAGATGAGATGGGCCATCGCCCCGCTGCCTTGAGCCAAGATTGTCCTGTTCTCTGTGACATACATGTGTATGTGACATGTATGTGTTACATACATGAGTAATGAGATGGCTGCCATTACCTCAGAGGAAGAAGAACAACTTTTAGGAGTCCATATGAGCCAGAAGCCCCTGGGTGTGATGGACTGCAACCTCAAATTCACCCCTCGGAAGAAAGACAAGGTGATCTACTTTGTCTGGTGATCTACTTCTGATAAGTATAAGTCAGTCGCTGAAAACTGTATGGAGCCCAATTCTACTCTAGTAGACATGAGGTCACTACGGGTCAGAATGAATGCAAGGGCAACTGGTTAAGCAGATTAATTTAGCAAATACTCATACTGAAAAGCGAGGAGTTACTTTGAGGACCAAGGTATACATACGCCTACCCCAAGCCATGGTATTTTAGGTGGCCTCACATGCCTGTGAAAGCTGGGCATTGAATTAGGAAGAAGGGAGAAAAAAAATCAATGCAGTTGAGCTATGATATGGGCGAACAATATTGAAAGTACCACGGACTGCCAAAAGTACCAATAAATTTGTCTTGGAAGAAGTACAGCCAGAAGGCTTTTTAAGGCCAAGAGGTGAGACATGGTGTCGTGTCTTTGGACGTGTTGTCAGAGAAGGACTGCATGCTGGGTAAAGCAGAGGGGCAGCGGCAGAGACGAAGGCCCTTGATGAGATGGATGGGCACGGTGTCAACATCAGTGGGCTCCGTCCGCATAGGAACCATCATGAGGATGGCCGA